TCCGGCCAGCGCTCCAGGCTCTGGGCAACATCTTGAGCTCCCTGCCCACAGGCATTTTGTGGACAGGGGGGCGGGGATAGCCTCTCCGCCACCGATCCAGTGGCGCGCGGGAAGCGTCTTGCCAGACGCCTTCATATTCCTTGCACGGACGACCAGCACAGGTGCCCAGGATAGACATCAGGCAGTTGCTCGCTTCGGTTCTCCACCCCTGGTCGTGCTCGCTGTCGCTCGCCTCATGTGGGGCTCTGCCAAATCTGCATGGGTTCGCATGGAAACACCCACGAGGCGGCGCCAGAGGAGCCGCCAGGGGGGGCCAGGCGCCGATCCAAGAAGTCCGCGCGGAACTCCGAAAGCTTATGTATATGCCGATGTGTTATTTTTCGAGTCTCCCCGTTCCATTCCCTGCACCTCCCCTCATGGCTTGCGCATAATTATCGTGCCCGCATTGTCGAGCCCTGGGCGAGGCCTCGAAGATGTCGGGCCAAGATCCGACGCGCCCGGCATAAGGTTGTTCCCTTCTGCGCCGCTTTGGACGCCCGAAGCGGGTACGGAAAAAATGGGCACGATGCCCAACGACAAACGTTGTCCAAGATCGACAGCGACCGCTGCTAGACAGGCGGCCTCCAGTATCAAATGGACAACGCCCGCGGCGGCACGGACAGCGATTCCTGTCCAAAATGGGCAGGAACTGCTGTCGGTCGTTGTCCACATTCTTTCCGTAGCCTTTCGTTCGTGCCGATGCGCGGGGCTAGGCGGTGACGCCGGGGCGCAGGAGTCGGACGAAGAGAGGGAAGAGCAGATCCTGGCCGACCCATCAATATAACCCGTGGTCGTGTCGCTGTGCGTCTTCCTGTGTGGGACATGTACGACTCCTCAAAGCTTATCCATCATTCGAACGACGGGAGGTACCCTTGGAGGCGCACCGACCTACGTCTGTCCGCCGGACACAGGCGGTGATCAAACACCATCTTCACCGATGGTTGTGATCATGTGGCCGATTCCGCAAGCCCTGAACCTGAGAACGCTTCCATCTCTTGGGGGCGCATATTTGACTTACGCCCGCTTCCGCTGGCCTTCCGCCCGCTTCCGCCTGCGGAGCCGCCCTCGTTTCACGTCCGCCGCCCTCCGCCGAGCTTCCGCGGCCTTCCGCCCGAGGAAGAGATGGCAACTCAGTCGATCCTCAAAGACGAGGCCCTTTCGGGACTTAGCTGCCCCGATACGCAACACGCAACACGTGGCGTATGGATACGGGGCTCAACACGTCGGCTGAATACGCGGGTCCGACGCGATACGTTCGCCAAAACGTGGGCCAATACGTGGAGTCAACACGCAACGTACTGACACGGACGTCTTGAACACGGGACGTGTTGCGTTTCAATACGGGCGTATCGAGGCAGCTAATAGGGGGCCAAATGTGAACCCTACCCCTACCCCCTAACTACGACCCTCAAAGGCGAGGCCCTTTCGGGAGCGCCCCAGGTCGTGCTGCCACGGCCATCCCCGTGGCCCCACCGGGGGGCCAGAGACGGCGCCGAGATCCTGAGCCGTGCGCGCCGGCCGAGCCGATCCAGCCCTCCCCTGCACTGGAAGACACGAACACGACGACGACGACGACGACGACGACGACGACGACGACGACGACGACGACGACGACGGAAACGAGGACGGAAACAAGGACGAGGACGAGGACGAGGACGAGGACGAGGACGACGGCGACGGCGACGACGACGACGACGACGACGACGACGACGACGACGACGACGACGGCGGCGGCGGCGGCGGCGGCGGCGGCGGCGACAGCGATTGGAACGGGGACGGGGACGGGGATGACGATGAAGACGACGAGGGCAAGGACGAAGAAGATGACGAAGCGAAGGAAAAGGATGGAGGGAAAGGAGGCGGGCGAGGAAGGGGAAGATGGAGAACTGGGAGGGCTGACTGACCAACGCGCCCCCAGCCCAGCGGGATCTGGAGGAAGTAGGACGAGGACGAAGAGTACTCTCCTGGGGTGAGGGGGGACGATAAGACGAGAAGGGTGGAGGAGGACAAAAGTAGGGGAAGGAGGCAGGCAGGCAGGCAGGCAGGCAGGCAGGCAGACGAGGAGAGGGGGAAGGGAAAACGAGGGCGATGGAAAAGTGGAACACGGAGGACGAGGAGGAGGAGGAGGACGAGGAGGAGGAGGAGGAAGAGGAGGAGGAGGAGGAGAAGGAGGAGGAAGAGGAGGAAGAGGAGGATGGGGGAGGAGGCAGAGGAGGAGGAGGAGGAAAGTGCGGCGACAAAGCGGCCGATACCATTCCGACTGCTGCTGAAAAGCTACGGCCCCGACCCTACATCGTCGGAGGCCTTACGCCCAACCGCTGCAGCGTGGGGGCGCAGCGAGACGCACAAATTAGGGGGGAGAACGGCGAGGAGGAGGACGACGAGCATCAAGGAACGAGGGGGGAGCAGGAGGAAAAGGAGAGGGAAGGGAACTGGGAGGAGGAAGAAGAAGAGAAGGGGGGGAGGAGGAGAAAGGAGATGAGGAGGAGGAGGAGGGGAAAAGAAAGAGAGAGAGAGAGAGAGCAAAGCGAAATGAAGATGGACAGAGAGTGAGGGAGAGAATACGGGAGACGAGAGAATGAGAGAGAGAGAGAAAGAGCGAGGAAACATGACGTGAAGTGCAGTGAAGTCCTGCCCTGCCAAAGTGGCCAACGAGGGGCAGGACCGTACATGAGACCCTCAGAAGTCCAATTGCGACTTCCCCGTATAGGGCGCTAGCTTTTGCCACTCGCTGGCGTCTCCAGCAAGACACTGCCACGCCCCCGGCCCCAAGTCTGTGCAAAGTCTCCGGACCGAGCCTTCGAAACGCTTCCACACGCGACTTGAAGGACGCGTCGGGGGAAGCGGACCCCACTCGCCACCAGCAACTTGGCAGGCAAAACCCCTCCACGACGTGACATTGTTCACCCAGTCGTTGGCGCCCATCCGGGCCATGCGCCCATCGGAAAAAATCTGGTGCCCACCTTTGAAGTCCAGCGCTTTCGGAAAAATGGTGGGCTTGCCGGGTGGCTCTCTGACCCCAGAAAAACCATAGCTCTCCGTCAGCTCTACCACGGCCTACACTTCTCCGCAGCATCAGAATCGGAGCAACGGCCACCTTTCTCAGCTCCTCCGCCCTGGGCGCCCATGAGTCGAACGCCCAGAAAAGCGCATTCTGTGACAGTCGCTTTCCATATGCGTAATCTTGTCTTCGACGAATATAGCCCGACCATTAGAAACTTCTTCCGCGCCGGACATTTACACAATCCGATGGCGGTGCAGCGTTCCATCTCCTGCCCCGTGGAATCCTCGAACGAACACTCGCGCATCAAGAATTATCCCGGCTTCAGCACTACAACCGAACAAAGCGTCCGCAACACGACGCCCAGGCGGGTGAACTCGTTCTGGTTCGTCTGGACTTGTCTTGGTGGGGCACAACAAATCGAAACCCACATTCGCCAAAGCATCCTGGAGCAGAAAAAAACACTCCTTTGAATGATATCCGATGTCTGGCAATGCGTGTATGGCCATCGACATAATATATACATTTACGTATGTTTATACATAGACATGGATATGCATGTGTATGTGTATGTATATGTGGGTGCGTTCATGTATGTGTATATGTAAATATATATGAGCATGACCATGTATATGCATATGCGCATGTTTATGTATATGTATACGTATACATCCCCAGGCCGAAAGTTTTTCCTCTTGGACTTAAAATATGAGAACACCGATGGATCCGATTGGATTTTTTCGGGTGTGCGACAGCGTCGTGGATCTTATTTGTGTATTGCGCAGATCCAATTTCCCGTGTGTGATGAAAAAACAAATGGATCCATTTATGTCCCGGGACTAAATATATTATGATAACTAACATCCCGGACCGAGGGGAAGCGGGACCCACGAGGCACCACACGTGAAGTATCATGCCATCCACGGCACTGTGGATATGCTGTCCAATGCTATGATTATACTGGGGAGGAGGGTCTTCCCAAGACAGACGGGGAGAAGGAGGAGGGAGGAGGCACGAGGAGGGGGGAGGAGGGGAGAAGGGACGGGATGCCGTCGCTTCCAACACTTGGGGCTAAGGAGGAAAATCTTCCGGTCTGAGTAAGAATGTATATGTGTGTAGATGTATATGTATATGTCTATGAATAGGTATGTGTAGATGTACCTGTGTGATGTGTATACGTTTGTGTGAATAGATGTGCACATGCAGATGTATAGTATACGTGTATGTACATTACATGTATGTGTATGTGGGTGTGGAATTGTGTATGTAAATGTATTTGCTGATGTAAATGTGAATGTAGATGTGCATGTGTATGTGTTTGAATGGATGTGTATGTGAATGTGCATGTGTATGAACATGCGTTTGCATAATCCATACTCGTGTGTCAATGTAAATGTAGGCGTATATGTATGTGTATGTGCATATGTACATATATATGTATATGTGTGCGTGTGCAAACCGATGTCATTGTATGCCTTCTCCGGCCAACGTGCAGCACCCTCTATGTTTCGACGCCCTGCTCACATCAGGTAGACTCTGTTCAACACTAAACTAAATCATTACAGCCGTCTCTGACACACAAGCTATAGAAGTAGAACTACAAGGACGCAACAAAACAGAACATACTCCAGAATGGTGCGCGCGATCAAATGCGTTTTCCACATCGAACACGGCGAACCATGGTTCCTCGACCAAATCATTTGATGTTCCGATGAATTATTGTCCTCCCGGCATGTACGCGTCTACGCAAGCCCGCTTGGATCTGAAGTCGCAGTTCTCTTTACACAAATTCGACTCGGTCACCGACGCGACCTGTTATAGAGCAGTTTGCTGAAAAACTTCGACCTCACTGGTAATATCACTACAGACATGCAGTTTGTTGGCGAAGGCGGTTCCCCAAGTGTGACAAACACGCAGATAATGTTGTATGTGCCAACTTGTTTGGCGCCTATAGAAGCCCATCCAAAATTTAACGGGTGTCCTGTCTTCTAAATTGTGCGACCAGCCAATGTTGCCGCGCTTCAGCTCCTGCAATGAATGTCATAGTTCTGCTTCACGGAGTCCTTCAACGGCAATTTCTGTCATAAGGCGCTCAATGGCGCCGAAAGCATCTCGGCACACGGCTTCAAAGAACTGCGCGAAGGCCTCGATGATTGATGCTTTGTTTGTTTGCGTGGCCCCATGCTGATATTGGATCACAAAATGATTCCGATGCCCGCGTGCTTCTGCTCAAGCCGTCGAAGAAATCCGAATCCAGCACCTCCGACGACAAGCTTTTTGAACTCCAAATGTTACGGTTTACGCGGTTGTCGTCTCAACGCCTTACAAAGCTGCTTCGATAAGAAACGCTGTTTGTCGATTTCCATTGCGTCCCAGCGTGCTTCGAACAGGCGCTCCACTTCCAGGCCATGCTTTGGTCCTGGTGTTGCCAGGCGGTTGCGTCCCCTGCTTTCCACCGCCGCCTCCACCAACCTCGGAGTTGGATCAAGTTCGGAGTCGTGCCCAGCGAAGACGCTGTCCAGGCTCTTGTGGTACTGTGGTACTTGCTCGGAATTCCCCCTGGCCCCTGGCGCGGTTGCCATCCCACTTACAACTTGTTTGTGATCCATGTGTTCGGACGGTCCGAACACGAACAGTTGTCGAAAAATCCTGGCCGGCCGATTGAACATCCAGAAAATGTGCGATATCCCAATTTTGGACTCCCCTTGCTCCGATTTCGCCAAACCAAATATAATCAATGTGTCGTAACTCCCCGGTGTTCCACAATCGATTTGCCCATACTTGGTCCAAAGACTTCTCAGTAAAGGGTGTGGCCTCTGCAAGCATTATCCCGTGCCAAAATTCCGTGAGCACGCGTCGTCTCCAACACCTTCCGCCGGGACCTCCGGGCCCAACGATGTGGAAATCCGTGCGAAATTCAGTCCGAATGATGGCACTGGCATCTGTTCCGACTGTGTTGGCATAGCCGGTATAGCCGTTCCTCAGTCCCTCCTCCACCAACCCCCCAAAGAGAGCAAGAAGTCTGTCGTACTCGTACTCGTCGGCTGGGCGGTCCTCATGAAGAGCATAAGAAACAAGAAAGTAGTAAGGAGACAACATTTCAAGCTCCCAGGGTCCGGATTAACGCACGCAGCGCGCCTTCCCGGAGCAGAGAAAACCAAGCTAGCTACTGAGGTCACCCTTTTCCTGTGTATTGCCATCGTTGAATCGGGCCTGTCCCCCTTCAGGGGGATTTTGGACGAAAAAAACATACCCTAAAAAATCTCAAACATCTGTTTTACCAAACAGAAGAATGCCCCCATACTATTTTTCGATTATTTTTGAATAGTCCCCCTGTAGAGGGACAGGCCCGACTTAAGGCCATCGTCACATTCCGCTTCCACCGTGTGCGTGCCCCGCTGTGTGCTGCCCGCCCGCCTCGCGAAGTGGCAGAAGAATCCAACTGCGAGCTCTGCGCCCCACATCAGCGACTGAGGAAGCATTCCAAGGGGCCCAGGGGCACACACATAAATACACACAGATAAAAGGGTTCCACATATTTTTCCAGATGGGGGAGCGGGGAGAGGGGGGAGAAAGGAGAGAGGGGGGGGGGGGAGGGGAAGGAAGAGAGGGGGGGGGGGGGACAGGAGAGAGGGGGGAGGGGGGGGGACAGGAGAGAGAGGGGGGGGGGGGAGGAGAGGGGGGGGGGACAGGAGAGAGGAGGGGGGGGGGGAACAGGAGAGAGAGGGGGGGAGGGGGGATGGAAAGGAGAGAGGGGGGGGGACAGGAGAGAGGAGGAGGGGGACAGGAGAGAGGAGGGGAGGTGGGGAGGGGGTTCCGTTAACCTTCTGCGAAGGCCTTCCCCTTCTCCCTTCCCCGCCCTCGCTCGCCGCCGAGGTTGGGCCCGACGGGGGGGGGCTATGGCACCGTTCGGCCGACTCCTGAAGCCCTGGACCCAAAGGCGCTTTCCGCGGTGGACAGACCTCCCTTTAGTGTTCAGTCGGGCCTGTCCCCCTACCGGGGACTTGTCGACGAAAAACAAAAAATCCCCCAAAAGAATCAAAAGATACTCCAAAAATAGTCTGGGGACTATTTTTTGAATATATTTCACCTTTTGGGAACATTTCTGGGCTATTTTTATTTTTTCGTCGAAAATCCTCCTGTAGGGGGACACGCCCGACATAACTTTAGCGAAAACGGCCTGGGACCGAAACCGACGGACCTGGACCCGCAAAAACCACGGCCCCGACGCCCTCCTCGCGAACCGAAAACGGCCCACTCGCTGATCGACGCGTCAGAGTGGGAGGTCTGTCCACCTCCGACGCTTCCACCTCTCGGGGTCGGCTCCGCGCAGAAAGCGGCCCCGGGCCAGAGGGGGGCCCTGTGCACGGTTTCCTCTGGGGC